GACAACCACCGTAGCTTGGGGATCAAAAGATTTGGTGCAGTTGGGGGTGGGGAAAAAAGCAATTCAGTGCCCCAGCAGCCAGCTGAGGGAATCCTGGTCTGCTCCCACACCAAATCACTGTTAATTACAATTACTGGGTTACACTAGTGAAGTCTTATTGAAATCATCGTAACCAGTAAAACGGGGGAAAAATACTTTTCGGAAGAAGCTGCTGTTATGAAAGGTTGCTGTTTAGCAGGAAGCAATGAGTAACAAAACAAGAAATAAGGTGGGATTAAGTTTTATTTCACATACAGTTCTCTATTCTGCAGTTACAGCTAAGCCGTACTGAAAAGCGGGTTAGACATCTCACAATGCGTTTTGTTGTTGTTGTTGTTGTTTTCCATTATTTACGGTCTAACACCCTTATCTTTTTTTCCTTAAAGGGAAGTCATGCTGGAAGACAACAGTAACCAAGAGAAGATCGGGCTGAATTCCAGGAATACTGTATAAACCAAAGTTACCCTTCTTTAAACCCAAGACTAAGCTCAGCTAAATCTGAAACTTCAGAAAGCTCACTGCTCAAAAATAAACAACCTACTCAATATCAAACCTCTGTGTTACCGACTTTCAATAATTCTGGTATTTCTGAGTCCTAAATAGCAAAGAGATCCACAAACCCTGAAGAAATTTACTTGAGCTAGAAAAAAACACTTAAAAAGCTAACTTTCAGAACAAAAAATTTCAAAGAAAGCATTTTCCTTGACAGCTCCTTCACAGAATTATTTTTAGGTCTCTCTATGAAAAACCTTTTCAGAACTCTGTGAATACATTCTACTTCCTCTTCTAATCTGTGTGTGTGTCCCCTGATGGACAAGGAGATAACTGATTCATCCCATCATCTCTTCAGTCTGAGTTCCTAAAGGTACAATCATGTGAGTCAGGACACATCTCAGTAACCGTTCTGGAAACACCACCAAGTACTAGAAAGAAGGGGTAGACCAGAACCCTGTTTGCAGGCATGCGAGTTCACTATTTGCTGCCTGCAATGGTTTCCAAGACACTCGCATTCTTGGTCGAAATGAAAGCTTGCTTATCTGTTGACACAGAAGTTGGATTTTTCTGACGGTGATCCTTTGTCACAAATAAAACAACCAGAATCTGGTTTACACACAAACAAATTTTTTTTATTGTTCCACATTAAAAAAAAAAAGATTCAAAGAACAGATTTGACCAACAATGTAAAATATATTATTAAAAGGCATCTTCGCAGATTTAACTTCCTACTTAATGAGTGGAGAAAATACTGAATGGAGAAGTGTCATTTAACTTGGCTACGCCCAGTAGTAAACAGCAAACACTGAGGACCCCAAGAGCCAGGCCAATGTGCCGACACGGAAGACTCCTAACGTGGGGGACTCCTCGCGGCTTTTTAAAATGTTGAGGCCAGAACCTCCATCTGAACTTTTTCTTTTTCTTTTATTTTAAGCACAAACCACTACTATCTACCCACTTTTAAAAACACGAGTGATGTATCTTACCCAAAACACACTAGCAATTTTAAAGCCAACTTGATCAAGTGCTGAAAATAGTCTAATAAGAACCATTATAGTAGCAGTTGGCAGTTATACCCACCTTCCTCCAATATCCTGAAAATAGGTATTTTAATCTAAAATCTTGCCCTGCATCTCCAGGAAAACCTGAGTGGGGAGTTGAAAAACCAAGAAACAACAAATATTTTGGAACCGCATCAGCAGCTACTTTGGTTTTTACTAGTTGCCCACCTAACTCCCCTCCTTCCAGGGGCTAACTCAAATGTGAACTAACTCTCTCTCTCTCTCTCTCTCTCTCTCTCACACACACACACACACACACACACACACACACACGTTCAGCCATCTTGACTGTACGAACCAGAAATGCTCAGAACTTGGTGACTGTCACCTCCCACCTGAGCTGCAGAAAATCCCCAATGCATCTGTTTATCTGCGCTGCCCAATGCATCTGTTTATCTCGCTGCCTCGCAGTGTCCTCTGGAAAGCACGGAACTCACTTAAACAAAAACTGTGCAGTACACATAGGGCACAGCACCACAACGTGCACAATTTTTAATAAAAGCAGAAAATTCTGAGGTGACTCAGAATTAACAACTGTTTAACTCACAGAACTAAAAACTTATCCTTTCCTGGGACGTATCTGCTAACTCGTTTCCAGTGATGAAAACACGGAGGGCATGGTCATGTCCTGGCAGGCAAAGGAGCCCTATCATTTACTAGACTCCCAGTTTCCTCTAAAATATAAATCTATAAAACGCGCTTAACTACTTCTAATGGCTTCTCATCTTTGCTTTAAACAAATGAAAGTCTCCTCCTTCAGCCCTCAAAACGTAAAATATTCAAACACAATATTTAGCAAATGCTTCCTCAAATCGTCTTCCTTTGAAATCCCAAAAGGGACCAGTCCTCTATTAAGCCTAAACGAGTTCCTGTTTGTTATGAAATAGCAGCGTCAGCACGGAGGGGGCCTGGCCGGCTGAGGACGGCTCCGCAGGCTAGCCCCGCGTCCTGCCACCGCGAGCCTTGCACAGGCAGCAGGCAGACATTGCTAAAATTCCACCTCCAGCTCATCTCTTCCTTTCTAGTTATCTCCTGCAAATATCTCACACAAAATAGAAATTCAGTCACGAGACAAAAAAGTACTCGTTTTTCTCTTTCCTTGTTAGAATGTAAGCAGTCCTACCACCCCTCTTTTTTACCAAGAAGAGAAAAAATTGGGAAGCCAAAAAAAAAAAAAAAAAAAAAGCCTTCACTCCTCCCAAAGTTGTTTTGTTAAACCAATTTTCTTTCTTGAACATAATGCTGACTTGTACACGGAAAAATAAAACGACTTCACAGACCAGTGTTTCATGTATTTACTCTAACCTTATCAGGTTACCCGAAGTTCTCATTGTTTTCAACCAAAAGAAAATATTTGTCGCACTAACCTGGACTAGTGTAAAACATTAAAGCCAGCCTAGCCTACACCGAGTGCCCTGTTCCCTTATGAAAAACTAACCAACAGAGGAAATGAGGCTGTGAACGGGAAATCTGATTAAGAGTTAAAATTGAGTTCCTTGAAATGTACTCATGAATAATTAATAACGAATACAGTTATTAGGCTTTCCTTACAACAACATTATTCTTGAAGTGGAACTCAAAGTAGCTACCTGCGGGCTCAATCTGCCACCCTCCGCGGAGCCAGGTGGGCACGGGAAGCATTCGCATCGGACGGCGTGGGGGACCGGCTCCATCACACGGGCTACACGCTCCCCTAACACGCCAGCAGAGCCCAGAATTTACAAAATCCACGAATTAGCAGCCAACCACGTAGACTGTCCCCAGTGTTAAGGGCAGTCTGGGTTCCCACGCCAGATTTCCCAATCCCGTCTTTTGTGACATGGGATTTTATTGATCTCAAACATGTTCACATTCAGAAATTAGTCTCCAAAGATACCTCGACGGTCGGCCGGCCACCTCGCCACCCCGGACATCCGCCCCTGGAAAGAGCTACGAGGACATACCACTCCTGGATCAACAAAACCAAGGGAAGGCAACCAGACTCTCTTCCAGACCCCCCAAAACATGGGTTCACTCAATGAGCTCCCCAACCCGGGAAGGCGCACAGCCAAGCCAAGCTCTCTCCCCAAGCGGCTAGTGCATCTAAGGGACCCAATTTGGGGGGTCCTTTTCCTCACACCTGCCACGTCACGATCCAGAACTTTTGGATGAAGCAATGAATTTTTAGTGCCTTCTAACTGTCCTGGCTGTTTGAATCCATTTTCTTTTTTTTAATTTGTTACTTCTTTAGACACAGTTCGGTCCGAGACCTAGCAGAGAACTGCGAGTTTATGGCGCAGCGAGGGGGTGGTGGGGAGGCACGGATCTCCGAGAGCCTGCCCTTTATTCGGAAATGAGGAGACGTGAAAGGTGGAAGGCAGGGCAAATAAATAAATAAATCGGGTTGGCTGCCGGAGCGTTTGCCGGCCTGTACGGGGCACCCTTTGTAATGCACGCCTCCCCGGGCTATCGCCTGTGCTAATTGCTCCAGGGCGCTTTCCAAGTTCAAAAGTTCACCTTTTACGACCTCACAAAAGCTCCTTACACGTTACCAATAAAAACATTCCGCAGCAAACACCGAGGAAGAAAAAAATATCAAACAGATACAAATAAAACACCCCGCTGGGGCTGGGGGCGGGGGGAGGGAGCGAGGCAGGGAGGAGGAAGGCGAGCGAGCCCCCGAGAACCCGCGAGGACTCGGGACGAGGGGCCCCCCAGCCAGGTGAGGAATTCTGGGCGTCCAGGGTCCGGGATCGGGCATGGGACCGGCTGCGAGGCAGGCAGGTGTCCCGCCAGCCAAGTCCGGCCGGAGCCGGTAGATCAAGTCATCCCAACCCCGGGGCGCAGGGCGCAGGGAGCGGGGCGCACACCCGGAGCTCCCTGAGCCAGGGGACCTCCGAACCAGGCATGGGGTCGGGGGTCCCCAGGGCTAAGGAATGGAGGGAGAGGGATGCCGGGGGTGGAGGGAGAAGGATGCCGGGGGTGCAGGAAAGGGAGGCCTCCGCGCTGCAAAACCGCGGCAGCGGAGGGGGACACGGGCTAGCCCCGAGGGGACCCGCGGCGAGGGGGTCGATGGGCACGAGGGGGGAGGGGAGGCCTGTGCCGAGAGGGCAAGGGGAGGGGGAAATGAAGCGCGATGCTGCGGAAACCAGGCAGGGGAAGGGTCTGCGCTGAGGGGACCGGAGGAGGAGGAGGAGGAGGAGAGGAAGAAGGAGAAGGAGCAAGGGGGGAGGGTCCGCACCACGGGGAGACCCGGCAGGACGGGGACGGTCCGCGCGCTGAGGGAGACCCGAGGCAGCGCGGCGGCTTCAGGGAGCCAGGGTCGGCTGAGAGGGGACGGGGGCGGGAGGAGAGGGACCCCCGCCCGGGGCAGGGCACAGGAGGCCGGTTCTCGGCCCGCCCGGGAGCTGCAAACCCCTCACCCACCGTTGCGCGGCGGCGGAGGGAGCGCGGCGGGCGGCTCCAGGAACCCCGCCGAGCCCCCGCCGCCTCCCCCTCCGCTCGGCGGCCGTTCGTCCCGCTCCATGCGTGCTGCTGCTCAGGACCCGCGCTGGCTCGGCTGCTCCGCCATGACCGGTGCCCTCGTCGTCGGAAGCGTCGGCCGCGGGGGCACTGGCGGCTGTCAGAGGGGCCGACGGGCTCCCGGCCGCCGCGCTCTCTGGGGCCCCGGACCGCCCGGCTCCGCGCCCCGCAGCGCCGCGCCCCCTCAGCACTGGCCAGCTCCCTCCCCTGACGTCACGCGCCGCTGCCACGCACGGCCCTGCGAGGCACCCTGGGAAATGGAGTCCGTGCAGCGAGGCTCCGGCCACGCGGGACCCTACCATCTGAAGGGGTGAATGTTAAAAAAACTCAGTCTCTTTCAACGGGAACGTCAGGGCCCGACTTAATCACAAACCGTGATAAAGACGTTTGAACATTGATGAGGACAGGGTGAGTTTGAGTGAATCTTTTGACTGTGTTTCCGCGGTTCAATCTCCAGGCAGGACTCCTCTTCTCCCCCCTCTGCCATAACGAGCCATTCCAGGGAGGCGGAGCGCGAAGGAACCGGCTGAGCACGTGTGCCGAAGCCCCGCCCTGTGGGCGGTGCCGAGGGGCGGGCTCTGGAGGTATTCACGAGGGCCTTCCTCCTCCGCGGCTGCGGGACAAATTGGACCGGAGATTAAAGGACCGGGAGTTTAACTCGAGGTGACCGCGTTCGTATGCAAATGGATTCTATACAACTCTGCTTTCCGGGGGTAGTGTTTAAAGCCTTTTACCTCCGGGTGGGCGGGAAAGCCTGAAATTTCTCTTCCTCTTCTTTCATTTTGTCCCCCAGCCCGTAGAACAGATGGACCCAGCGCTCCCGGCCGTGGGTGCCCATTAAAAGACACCTTCTGGCTCTTGATCTCCCCGGTGTCAGGAACAAGGAGGAGCCCCCAGGCCGGCTGCGGGGAGCCCCCTTTACCCGTTCTGGCTCGCCTCTCCCCTCCTCAGCGGCCCTGGCTAGGGAATGGGCTCGGGATGGGGACGAGTCCGCTTGGCGGTGCCTGCCCGCGCCCTGCAGCTCCCCTCAGCTTCTCGGGGTCCCCAGCCCCGACTTTGGCGGCCTCTCCAGCTGAAGCCACGTCCCGCGGCCACCGCCAGGTGGCGCGCCGCCCCCAGGGCCCCTGAGCATGGGCTGGGGTGTCGGTCGGTCCCCCTCTTGCCAACCCCCGAGTCCGAAGCCCACCTGGCCAACAGAGCTGGTGCTGAGCCCGCCTCTGCCGTGCAACGGCGACCTGCAGCTCCTCCCGCATCCTCGCTGCTCCCCTGGGGCGTGGGGAGATGGGGGGTCGCAGCCCTGGGCGTAGCTGTGCCGTACTGGCCTGGGTGAACCTGCCCTCCTTGCTCCATCCACCTGTGCCCAGGCACATGAGTCTTCTTCAAGCCCGGGCACGCTCCACTGCCTCGCCCCTCGCCCAAGGTTGCCTTCATGGCTCCCCTGCTGGACGCCTACAGGCTCCCACGAGGCTCTGTGGGGACTGTGAGGATGCATTTCTCCGTGGTCCTCCCACCAACACTACCTCCAGCCCTAGCCAGAGAGAAAGGGGGGACCCGTGGAGATTCTTGACAGGATTGGTATGAAAGTGAGATGAGGGGCCAGTGCGATGGCTCAACTGGCTAATCCTATACCTGCAAGCGCCAGCATCCTATACAGGCGCCAGTTCATGTCCTGGCTGCTCCACTTCCCATCTAGCTCTCTGTTATGGCCTGGGAAAACAGTAGAGCATAGGCCAAAACCTTGGGACCTTGTACCCACACGAGAGACCCGGAAGAAGCCCCTGGCTCCTGCCTTCAGACGGGCTCAACTTCAGCCATTGGAACCACTTGAACAAGTGGATGGAAGATCTTTCTTCTCTCTGTAAATTTCTTTCCAATAAAATAAAAATTTAACATAAGTGAGGTGATGACCGCAAAGCCGTTAATGTAAGGTATGACCCAGTGCCTCTGCTCCCACTTCCTAGAAATACTTCTGGGGTGTGTCAGATACCCCAAAACAGAAAAGACCCCAAAGAGGTCGTCCACGGTGAGTCCAGCACCAGCCACAGAAGAGCCCAAATGTTCCACCCCCACCCTCCAGGAGGAAACAAGCTTAGGAAAAAAAAAGCCATTACCTGCAATGCCCACAACCCGTGTGCATGCTGGTTCGAGTCCCAGCTGCTCCACTTTCCATTCAGCGCCCTCCTAATGCGCCTGGGAAAGCAGCACATGACCCAAGTGCTTGGGCCCCTGCACCCGCATGGGAGACCTGGATGAAGCTCCTGGCATCTGTCTGGCCCAGCCCTAGCACTTGTGGGAATTGAATCAGCAAATGGAAGACCTGGGTCTCTCTCCATCTCTCTGTCTCACACACACTCATTCTGATTTTTAAAAGAAAAGACCCCCTCCACTTGCAGGCCTGAAGAAAGAAAAGCTGGAAAGGGAGGTAGCTTGGATCAAAAGGCACCTGAGAGGAAGTGCCCTGGAGGCCAAAGCACGGACAATGTCAGGCAGGACCCAAGGCAGACCTGACACGTCCCGGAACCCTGTCCTGTGGCCCGAGCTGCAGAATGGTTTGGCTTTTTTTTTTTTTTTGAAAGATTTATTTATTTTGGGCCCGGCACCATGGCCTAGCGGCTAAAGTCCTTGCCTTGAACGCACCAGGATCTCATATGGGCGCCAGTTCTAATCCCAGCAGCTCCACTTCCCATCCAGCTCCCTGCTTGTGGCCTGGGAAAGCAGTCGAGGACGGCCCAAAGCTTTGGGACCCTGCACCCATGTGGGAGACCCGGAAGAGGTTCCTGGCTCCTGGCTTTGGATCGGCACAGCACCGGCCGTTGCAGTCACTTATTTTATTACAAAGACAGATATACAGAGAAGAGGAGAGACAGAGAGGAAGATCTTCTGTCCGATAATTCACTCTCCAAGTGACTGCAACAGCTGGTCACTTTAGCTGTTAGGCCACCACTATACCAGGCACTGCACAGTGTTTAATCCCACAAACTCACAGCTACAGCAGAAAACACCAAGACAAAAGGTGCCAAGTGCTGGCCAGGTTTGCAGGGTTGAGGAACTGCGAGGTGCTGGGGGTCCAAGGAAGGAGGCAGAGGGGCAAACAGGTCAATAGGGTAGGGAGTGGGGGGGGACACCCCCTAAAAGACCATGGGGGTCCTGTCAGGGAACCGCCAGCAGGGGGCGGAGTTCCTCTGCTGCCAGCAGCCCTGTGCTTCCCAGGTCTACAGTCGAGTCAGGCTGCCTTGGGCAAGGCGCTGGGGCAGGAAGCCCCTGCCTGAATCTGCTTGTTTTGTGTGCATTTTGTCTGTCTGTGCTTTACCACACGCGTTCCAGACTCCACCAGGCACGCAGGAGTTCAGCGAAGATCATTGCTGTATTGCCTGCTTAGCAGCCAATTGGCTGGTTGTGTCCTTCATTGGCGGTCTGGGGATGTCAGCACACAGTGTTTATTGTTTATCCCAATACAGTTCTGGTGTGGGCACCTCCCAGGGAACCTCCAGCTTGTGTTCAACAGTGACTGCATGGGTGACTTTTTTTTTTTCTTTTTAAATCTATTTTATTTTTATTGGAAAGCCAGGCATAGAGAGGAGGAGAGAAAGGGAGGAAGATCTTCCATCCTCTGGTTCACTCCCCAAGCAGCCACAATGACCAGAGCCGAGCCGATCAGGAGTCCATGATTGAGCCTAGTCCAGGGTCCCAGGGCTTTGGCCACAAGCAGAGAGCTGGCTGGGAAGCAGGGCTGCCGGGATTAGAACCGGCGCCCATAGGGGATCCCGGTGCGTGTAAGGCAAGGACTAAGGACTTTAGCCACTAGGCTAAAGCGCTGAGTCCGGGTGGTTACTATTTTGAAAGGCAGAGTTACAGAGAGCTTCCGTGCACTGGCCCTAGTAGCCAGAGCTGGGCTGATTCCAAACTGGGAGCTTCATCCAGATGTCCCATGTGGTGGCAGGAGCCCAAGCCCTCGGGCCATCCTTGCTGCTCTCCCAGGCCTTCAGCATGGAGCTGGGTCAGAAGTGCTGCAGCCTGGACTGCATTGCAGGCTTAATCCGCTGTGCATTCCTAACAAGTTCCGAGGGGACACGGGGCAGCTCTTATTTGTCTCCCCGAGCAAAGTGGGCCGCAGCTCCGGGAACACACAGCCCAGCACACTGGCCAGGTCCACTTAGCTGTCAAGTCCGTGAAGGAAATGCGAGATATAAGGGGGAGGGTGTACTCGTGGTTAGAAGTAAGGTAGGGGGACCAGCGCCGTGGCCTAGCAGTTACAGTCCTCACCTGCAACATGCCAGGACCTCATATGGGCACTGGTTTTAGTCCCGGCAGCTCCATTTCCCAGCCAGCTCCCTGCTTGTGGCCTGGGAAAGCAGTCGAGGACGGCCCAAAGCCTTGGAACCCTGCACCCATGTGGGAGACCCGGAAGAAGTTCCTGGCTCCTGGCCTCTGATCGGCTCAGCTCCAGCCATTGCGGTCACTTGGGGAGTGAATCATCGGACAGAAGATCTTCATTTCTGTCTCTCTTTTTATATCTGACTTTGCAATAAAAGTAAGTAAATCTTTTAAAAGTAAAGTGGGACGGTCGCCACACCTGGAGCACGGATCAGGGAAGAACACGAAGGAAAACCAGAGTGCCCGGAGATAGAAAGACTTGAGAAGGGAGAGGCAGCTGCGAGGGGTAGGGGGGATGCGTCGGCAAGAGACAGAGGCGCTGCCTGGGGTTGGGTTCCAGGGTGAGGCTAGAGACTCCCGGGGCGGGCGCCCCAGGACGGGTCCCTTTGGAGAGTTGCTGCGGCGGGAGCCAGTAGACGCTCCCCGAAGAGGGAAAAGGAGCCGCAGGCACCGCTGAGGTTTGGTTGGGAGCTGGCGGGCGGGAACGCGGAGCTGGGGAGAAGCGCGGGAAGGCAGATGCGGGCGGGAGGGCCAAGTCCTGGGAGCGCGCGCGGTGCGCCACTTTGCAGCCGCCCGGGTAGGATCTTCTCCATTTCCCACAGGGGCGGGCCGGGGCGGGGCGCCCCCTCGGCCGTGGCTCCGCCCCCAGAGGCGCCGGAGGGGTCCGGGGCGGGGGAGCAGGGAGCGCATCAAGCGGGCCTCGGCGCCGAGCTCCCAGAGCTGCCCGGGCTCCCCAGCGTGCGCGCCGGGTCGCCTGTGCCCGCCGCGCCCGTGGCGCCATGGCAGCGGCCGCCCTTGCGCCCCGGACCCTGCTCCTGCTGCTCCCGCTGCTGCTGCGCGCCAGCCCCGTGCGCGCCGATGGCAAGGTACGCGTGCCCCTGCTCCCAGGTGCCGCGCGGCGGGGCACGAGAGGGCGCTGTGGCCGGGGGGCCGAGACCCTGGGAGAGCAAGTTCTGGGGCCCCAGGAAAGGTGCGCTGGCACCCAGGCCCGGGAAGGGAAGGGAGGGAGGCCCGGAGCCCTGAGCAAGGGCAGCAACTGGGACCTGACCCCGAAGCGGCCAGCCCCCCGGGCAGCTGCCCCTCGGCGACTCCTGGCTTAGCCGCCAGTCATCCAGGGGTGGGTACCAGTCACCTGCACGCCGTACAAAATGATTGACAGAAACATTAGCCTGCCACGAATTTATTGCATTTTAAGAGATGCCTGTCTCATCAGGGCCAGATTGAACTTTTTTTGGACGGGCCTTAGGCTGCACCTCGCTGGAGGTTCCAGGATGAGACCTGCAGGCCCGGGCTTCCACGTTGTGTTGGGAACGCAGAGGCGGGGAAGACGCTGGCCGTCCGGCTGGCCTCTGGTGCAGCCGCTAAAGGGCTAGGCGGCTCCGGAGGGCCCTGTGCCGCTCAGGGCGCTTGCCCGCTGGAGTCCAGCCCTCCGTCAGCGCCTACCTCTCTGCTGGTGTCCTATTTTTTTTTATATATATATTTATTTTCATTGGAAAGGCAGATATATAGAGAGGAGGAGAGAGAGAGAGAAAGATCCTCTGTGGGATGGTTAAGTCCCCAAGCGGCTGCAACGGCCAAAATTGATCCAATCCGAAGGCAGCAGCCAGAAGCTTCCTCCGGGTCTCCCATGCGGGCGCAGGGTCCCAAAGCTTTGGGCCATTCTCGACTACTTTCCCAGACCACAAGCAGGGAGCTGGCTGGGAAGCAGGGCCTCCGGGATTGGAACCAGTGCCCATATGGGATCCCAACATGCCCGACGAAAGGACTTGAGCCACTAGGATCCGAGGAGGATGACCTTAGGGGTGGGGCGTGGGGAGGCAAGGCCAGGGAGTTCAAGCAAGGTTCTGCTTACAGAGCATGGGAGTGAAGCATGCCCAACAGCTCTCCTGCCGGCAGGGGCGTCTGTTGTGCCTCTCTGGGCAGCTAAAAAACAGAAACCACCAGCCAGGTGCAGAGCCATAAGCTGCACTGGCAGACCCTCCACCCAGAGTTTTAGCTCGAGGAAGCCTGTTTGCATTTGATAGCTGGGGAGGTGAGTGTGCACAGAGGAGTGGCTGCCTTCTCAATCTGCAAACCTGCTGGGTTCCTCCTGCTGTTTGGCTGTGTGAGCTTGGACAGTCCACCACCTGTGCCTGGGTGAAAAGCAGTGGCCATCTCGCCCACCATGGGTGCGCGCACGCACACACACACACACACCAACTTGCCTTCCTTTTGGAGGCTGTGACCCAGCTGAGGTCAGAGATCCAGGGAGCAGAAAATCCCTGAGACGCTAGCAGTGGCTTTGTCAGCTCCCTGACTGGGAGGGCTGCTGGCTCTGAGCGTCCCCTGAACTTCCCTGAGGGCCGCTGAGCGTGCGAGCGTGCAAGGAGGGCCCACGCTCAGAACAAAGCAAAGACAAAGAAAACCCAACACTGTTTATGTAGTGAGTCAGCCCCACACTTGCTGGAGTGTGTGTGTATGGAGAGGGTGTCCCAGGGCGAGCCGAGGCTGCTGGGCCAAGGAGGTACATCCTTGATTTGGGGAGGACAAAGCAGCTGCAGGACTTGACCCAGCCCTGCACACTCCACCACACCCCCACCAGCAGCCCCCACCCCTGCACCACTTCAGCCAGCTGGGAAAAATAAAAATCAAGCGATGGGTGAATTTACCCTGCGTTCCTTAGCTGAGCCAGACTCCTGCTGGCTCTGGCAGCAAGCTGCTTGCATTATCACCCACTCCCTCCCCCACGACAGGCCCTCCTTACTTTCCAAGCTGTCCCCTTCTCCCTGGGGCTGGGCAGGGCAGGGCTGGGGTGGAGGGAAAGCCTGCAGAGGGCCAACCTGAGGCTTGAGGTCAGAGCAGGAGCTCCTGCGGGGCTGAGCTGGCTCCCCCTCTGTGCCCTGCTCCTGGAAGAGCCATCTCCCCCACCTCAGCCCGCCCTGACGCCTTCTGTCCTCCCCTTGGCCACCCTCCTCGCTTGCTCGCCGCTGGTGTCTTCATTTCATGTTTACAGCGCAGTCTCTCCCAAACAGGATCTGAGTTTCCATCTAAGGAAGTGCTTTGTCCAGGCTGGCAGGAGGAGGCGAGCTCACGGCTTTGCTCGCACTCGGAAGGGCTATCTGGCTTGGAGGTTGGGGTGGACGGGCAGATAGGCACGTGGCACCCAAGCCTGGCATCAGAGCCCTCTCCCACCACCCCAGGAACCTGCTGGCTGCTCTGGGTCCCTAAACTGCCTGAGAATCCCTTCAGCTGTGCCTCAGTTTCCCCATCTTGGTAAAGGTTTGGGGTATTTCATTTCCTCCGTGCAGCCAGGGTTGAAAAGGAGGTCTGTCAGCCTACAGACCAGCTGCTGCAGGACAGAGGACAAATTCAAGGGCTTGGGAGCAGGGCCAGGGGCGCGGGAGGGCTGCAGTGGCCCCAGGCTGGATCAAATGTGCCAGGCCAGGCCAGGCCATTCCCTGGGGCTTAATTGTTGCTCAGGCCCTACTCCTGGAGTTTCCACCCGTGGATGTAATTGCAAACAGGCCAAAGCTGCCTGTTTCTGCCTGCAGTGTGAGACCAGGCCCGGTAGGTCTCCCTGCGGGGAAGGTCTTGCTACAATAGCAGCTTTGGCTGGGGTGCCTAGCCCATGCTCGGCAGTTACAACCAGAATCTTACACAAGCCCTACCCTGAGGTTTCTGGGCCTCTCCCCATTGCACAGAGATGAACACTGAGGGCCACAAGGAGTTGGGCTGGGGGCTCCTGTGAGGAGGGGTGAACATTTCCGAGCTCCCAGGATCGGGAGTAGAATTGAGGCATTCGCATCTTCCGGTGCACTGCAGGCATGTTTCCAGTTGAGAACTCCACAGAGCTAATAGGCTTGTGACGCGAGAGAGTGACGGATTATCAACAAGTGGCTGCATTGGCTGTGCGGGCAGCAGCTCGTGCTGCCTGGTGGAGGGCTGCGGAGTAGGGAGAGGGGCGGATCTTGATGACAGGTGGTCCCTCCAGGGCAGTGGGTGGGCAGGAAGGGAGGTGGGCACCACGGGTTTGACAAAAGATGGTAGATCCGATCCTGAATGGTTTGTTTGTGACACCTGTGGGCAGTCAGGGGGAGGCATCCAGCTGGTGGTGACTCTAAGGGAAGATCTTTGCCTGCAGGGACCTGGGAAACAGTCGGGGTCAAGGAGACAGGCTGGCCACAGCAGGAAGAGGACAGACCCAACCTCAATGTGACATCATTTGAGCCTGCCCTACTGCTAGGACATTTCCCAGCTTGAACCCGCCTTCCCTCCCCCACCCCACCCCTACCCCCCGCCGAATTTGTCCATCTCCTGCAGAAAAATCTCAAGTCTTTGCTCTTGCCCTCTTGTTGTGAGACTTCCTTCTAAGCACACTGCAGGGGCTGTGAGCAGAGTGAGGCTACTGGGAGGGCTCAGGATTGCCGCAGGGACGCAACCGTAGTGCCAAGAGCAGGACGGGCCAGGTCCATGGAATCCCAGGCCCTTCGCCAGGTGACTGTGGGTGGAGAGTGTGGAGACCAGTTTGGAAGTCAGGCTGTGCTGTGTGGACCCTGGGTAAGGCTTTAGTCTTCTCTGATGCTCTCTGCAGGGGAGGCTTGTAGCAGTGATACCCAAAGCAGGTGCCACACTGAGTGCAGGTGCAGACTGTGCAGGTTCACGGCAAGTTAATGATGAAGAGGGACCCCCAATTCACTTCCATTTTACAGACATGGAAGCTGAGGCTCCTTGAGGTCATAGCTTCACAGCCAGGCAGCATGGAAGCTGCAGTTTGAGCCCAGGCCTGGTTTATCATGGTGAAGCTCAGGTGCCTGTAGTCCAGTGGTACAAGAAGTGACGATTGCCTGAGACGGGACCCCAAAGCTGCCGGTCAGGGACCAAGGCCCTCTTCCTTGTCAGGGCCTTGGCTGCCCTGGTCAGGATGTAGGACCTCACCGGGGCGGGGCGGGGGGGGGGCGAGGAATGTTGTGGGTGGAGGCGGAGGCTGCTGCTGGCCCTAGCTACAGCAGCAGGTGGCCTCTTGAAACCAACCACTCTTATCTACCTGCTAGGCCCTTGACCTTGCCTGAAGAACGGACGGAAGTAGCAAGAGGCGCCCTTCGGAACACATGGTTAAGGCACTAGCTGATGCCCTGGGGGGCAGGGTAGACAAAATCCCAGCCTGCCCATCAGCATTCACAGTGGAAGAGATTGGGCCGCACGCCCTGTCCACCCACGCACAGATGGCCCAGGCCAGAGCTTCTGCCCACAGCCTCCACTCCCTACCTTCCTCACCTCCTGCTCCCTGGGACCCCTCCCAACTCAGCCTGCAGGAAGGGCCCCAGCCTGGGCTCCTCCTCAAACAAGGAGGCAGCTGCAGGACTCGGCTCCCTCCTCTAGTGGGCGCTACTTAGAGACTCCCCAGTGCAGAGACCAGAGCTCTGGCTGTTGCCCTGTGACTATTCATCTGCCATGGAGCGGCACAGGCTCTAGTAGAATCTTTGTTTCACACACGAGGGAATGGAGGCTCAGAGAGGTTAAGGAAGCTACCCAAGAGCACATAGCAGTCATACCCTGCACCTCCCCAGCACCAAGTGAGTGCTCCTAGGCTGCCTGGTCGAGCTCCTGCCTCCACCTGTCCACACGTGGCCTGTCAGAGCCAGACTCTGCCCCCCCCGGGGGAAGGCACCAGCCACCATGAATAGCCCTGAGGTCGCTGGCTTTCACATCTTGGTTTGCCCTTCCCAAGTTTGCTGCTCCTCCTCCAGCACTGCCTCCTCTGAGCAGTCGTCAGGAGTATCTTTCTCAGAACTCACCGGGTCAGCTTTTTGCCAGGGTTGAGAAGGCCAACTCCTCACTATGCCCCAGGGCCTGGCAGAGGGCAGAAGCTCAAACAGGTATCTGAAGGCATGGAAGGCAAATGGAATATCTGGTCTTTGCCCAGAGGGTCCCGGACACCCATGGGCCGTGGATATGGCAGAAAGCCTGAAAAACCAGTGGCTCACCAGGGACCTGGTGGGATTCAGTGAGAGCTGGGGAGGGGGACGCACAGAGGCCTGGGGTCTTTGCTGTTGACTGAGCTGCAAACAGTTCAGAGGTCAGGGCAGGCTGGCTAGGCTCCCCGGGGCCCAGCTTGATCCAGGCCTGGCACCTGCTGCCCATCTCCAGGAGTTGACTTCTGCAGCCCCCAGTGAACAAGGGCCACACCTGGCCACTGGGCACACAGCACTGCAGGGTGGAGCTGCAAACCACCCCCTCAGGGTATACTATCTCACCGGGAACAGGTTCTGTATGGAGAGTTGAGGGAATTGTGGGGCTTGGAGAGGCGGTATAACCTGTTTTTAAGGTCACACGGGGCAGGCAAAGTCTCAAGGAGTGATTGCCTTCTGAGGGCGGGTCTGCAGCACAGCTTTGCAGCAGCATGGCCTTGGGCATGTGTCCTCTCTGCACCTGCCCCTTCACCTACCGTTACAATGTTAAGATTCACTCAGAATGTACAAGGCGCCATTTCCTATCTTTATGGACTCGCTCAGTTCTGAACACAACTCTATGAGACCCAAGTCCATTGTGCAGATGGGAAAACAGAGGCACGGAAGGGGCAGAGTTGCTGAGTCTCCCCTAGACCCAGGCTCTTCCCCCTTGTCCACCCTGTGTGCAGCAGGATCCCAGAGCACCTACTGCAGACCAGGCAGGCAACACTGTGGGTTTCCAGGTGGGACCCAAAGTCCCCGCCATGAAGGGTGTCTGTAGCTGTGTCAGAGACAGACGGGCTATTGCAGGCGTTCTTTGCAATGAAGAAAAACAGAGCTGCTTGATAAGGAGATAGGAATGTGAGGGGAGTGGTCAGGGAGGGCGTCTCATAGGAGGTGACATACAAAATCCACAGGAACATCGTTGGCTTCTGGGGAGGGGAGTGTCACCTAGGTGAAGGCCTTGAGGCTGAAGCGAGTGAGCCCTGGGTGGGAAGAGGCGCAGGTGGAGGCCCACTCACAAGGCCTGGAAGGCAACAGAAGGACTCTGGAAGTAGAAGAACCTGTTAACCAGCTCGCCCCACCTCCCCCACACAGAGAACTGTAGGGGTGGCTGTTTGGCCCAGTGGTTATACACCAGCTGGAATACCACATCCCAGCTCGCAGCGCCTAAATCCAAGTCTGCTTGACTCCAGCTAATGCGCGCCCTGGAAGGCAACAGGCTCAGACGCCACCCGCCCGGGAGGGAGGAGACCTGGGTGGGTTCCTGGCTTCAGCTTTCATGATCCAGTACGTAGGGTCTCTCTTTCTCTTAAGTAAATTAAAAGTGAAAGAAGAGAAGAGGGGAAAAGAAGCAAAGGAGGAAGGGAGAGAAAGCCAGTATTCAGACTTGTGCAGGAGTGTTCCCCAGCAACATGATTCACAGTAGCCACAAACACACAAGCCTCCATGCCCATGACCTGAGTGAAGACCCTGCGGGATGGTATGCAGCTGGATACAGGAGCAGAGTGGAGGAACCCAGACCGCAAGGCCCCACCCGCCACGATCCTTTCCTTGGTGAACTGCTAGGCTCCCGGCACCTGCTTCCAGTTCCCTTGCTCCCATGCCACATAGAAGCACTGGGTCATGTGGTGATTCTATCCATGCTTTCCCATCATATTTTGGTATTAATTTTTTATATTATTTGAAAGGCAGAGTGACAGAGAGCTCTTCCATCCGTGGTTCATTGCTCCCAAATGGCTGTAACTGCTAGGGCTGTGTCAGCCCCAAGCCAGGAGCCTGGACCATCAGATCTCATGTGTGTTAAGGTGCCCAAGCACTTGGACCAACCTCCTCTGCTTTCATAGATGCATTAAGTAGCAGGGAGCTTCACCACAAGTGGAGCAGCTGGACTCACTTCTATTGTTGCTGTAAGACCCCATTCCTGGGCCCCAGCACAGTAGCCTAATGGCTAAAGCACTCACCTTGCATGCATTGGGCTCCCATATAGGCGCCGATTCCTATCCTGGCTACTCCACCTCCCTTACAGCTTCCGTCTGGGGCCTGGGAAAGCAGTAGAGGATGGTGCAAGGGACCTTGCACCCGCATGGGAGACCCAGAACAAACTCCTGGCCCCTGGCTTCACATTGGCTCAGCTCCAGCCATTGTGGCCATTTGGGGAATGAACCAGAAGATGGAAGATCTATCTCTCTGTCTCTCCTCTCTATATATATCTGCCTTTCTGGGCCCAGCATGGTAGCCTAGCAGCTAAAGTCCTCGCCTTGAACGTGCCCAGCATCCCATATGGGCTCTGGTTCTAATCCCAGCAGCCCCACTTCCCATCCAGCTCCCTACTTGTGGCCTAGGAAAGCAGTCGAGGACGGCCCAAAGCCTTGGGACCCTGCACCCGTGTGGGAGACCCAGAGGAGGTTCCTGGCTCCTGGCTTCAGATCGGCTCAACGCCGGCTGTTGTGGTCACTTGGGGAGTGAGTCATCGGATGGAAAATCTTCCTCTCTGTCTCTCCTCCTCTATATATATATCTGACTTTTGCAATTAAAATAAATATTTTTAATTATAATAATAATAAATAAGTCTGCCTTTCAAAAATATATAAATAAAAAGGAAATAGACTCCATTCCCTGTAAGAGTCATTCCATGGCATCCTCCCCTCCCCTAGCCCCACTGGACCCTCCCCAGCTGGGGTGGCTTCTGCTTACCCAGGCACCCAGCAACCACTCCCTACAGTCCTTGCCTTTTGCTTGTTCCCCTGCAGGTGTTTGGGGATGTGGACCAGGTGCGGATGACCACGGAGGGCTCAGACTGTCGCTGCAAGTGCATCATGCGACCGCTGAGCAAAGACGCGTGCAGCCGGGTGCGCAGTGGGCGCGCGCGCGTCGAGGACTTCTACACGGTGGAGACGCTGAGCTCCGGCAGCGACTGCCGCTGCTCCTGCACGGCGCCGCCCTCGTCACTCAACCCCTGCGAAAACGAGTGGAAGATGGAGAAGCTCAAGAGGCAGGCGCCCGAGCTCCTCAAGGTATGGCTGGCTGGCGCCGGGCTTGTGGGAAGGGAGTGAGTGCCACACAGCGCATGCTCCAGGCCGTCCACCTGCCAGAAATCCCACCCTCCTCCGAGTCAGCACCTGAAGCACGCCGTTACCCAAGCCGTGAACCCAAGACCATTTGGTCCTATGATGGAGGCAGGATTTTTTGTCTAGATTACCTTAGAACAGCCTACTTGCTGTGGATTCCTTCTGATGTGTGTGTTTCAATTTGAGAGGCAGGGAAGAAGGCAGACAGGGAACAAGAGCTGGCAGGAGCTGGGGACTCAATCCAGATCGCCCATGTGGGGGGCACTGGTACTCTGATGTAGCATGTGGGCATGACACATCGGTCTGGCACATGACTGTGCATGGCACACAGAAAAGCAGACCTGTAAAGAACATAGCCCGAACATTTGGCTAAACGTTAGTTTCTCTGCCTGTAACCCATTTTATTTTCATAACACATAGATGCAGGCCCAAAACTCCCAACAATGCTGTGTGCGAATGTTAGTAGTCCCAGGTCCATGTGCCTCCTATGGCCTCCAGGTCCCCAGGCTGTGGGCCTCCATAGCAGGGACTGTTAGGCAGTGTAAAGCTCTTAGAAGCTGCTGATTTGCTAAGTCAAGGCCATTGGAAAATTCCACCTCAGTCTGGATGAGTCAGGGTTGCAAAGCCCTATCTATAGAATAAAGCCAGGTGCACGAGGGCAGGGATGCAATTCTCCGATTTTGCATTACCAGCAAGACTTTTTATTGTTTCGGAGGGGCTCAAACGCAGACCCTAACAGGACAACCCCAGCATCTACTTGCGTCTACTTCACCAAAACTGAGCTGTATGTGTGCTAGGCGTGAGAACACAGCCCTGTCCCTTTTGTTTTTAAGATTTTTTTTTTCATATATTTGCCTGAGAGGCAGAGTTATAGAGGGAGGGAGAGAGTGAGCGTCTATCCACTATTTCGTTCTCCAAATGGCCACAGTAGTTAGTTCTGGGCCAGATCGAAGCCAGGAGCTTCATCCTGGTCTCAGCTTGGATGCAGGGGACCTAACATTTGGGTCTTCTTCCATTGCTTTCCCAGGTGTATCCGCAGGGAGCTAGAGTGGAAGTAGAGCAACTGGGACAAGAACCGGTGGTGGCGTTGCAGGCAGCAACTTTACGTATTATGCCACAGCGCCCTTTTGTAAATGCTGGCCACAGGGACAAGTGTTTGACCTAGTGATTAAGCCATTGTTTCATTTCTGATTGCCTGGGTTCAGTTCCCAGCTCCAGCTTCTGACGGTAGCTTACTGCTAGTGCACACTCTGAGGGCAGCAGCGATGGCTTAAGGCCTGGATTGAGTGCCCAGCTTCACTGTCCCCGCCCCCCGACCATCCCCAGCATTCTTCACTTGGACCAGAAATCTGAGGTGCAGGGAAGGAGTGTGACTTGCCTGAAGTCACACAGCAAGAAAGGGAAAGAACCCAGAAATTCTCAGCTGCGTCCCCCGGGAACCAGCACCCCCACTCAGTTCACTCAGCCAGGGAGGAGGAGCCCGTCGTCCCTGACAGCCCAACGGGGTCAGGAGCCTCACATCACTAAGGAAGGAAGTGGTGGGACTGACTCTGCATGGAACTGCCTTGTTGGTACTCGCAGGCTAGCAGTGCGCACCTAAAGGAGACCAAAGAACCCTAGGAGGTTCAGGGGCGGGGCCCTAGCAAACAGAACTAGGTCCTGTACGCATCTCCCATGGGAAGAAGGTAAGGGGAACTTGTGAGTTGGGGTGCCTGCTCTATATGCCTCTTCCCATCTCTGCTCCAGCAAGCCCCCAGATTTGTAAGCACAGCTGTGACTGGACCTGAGTCACTGGCCCCGTCGGAGACAGCATTGACCCTGCCCGCATCCAAGGGTGTGCCTCTCGCCTCCCCAAACAGCCCCAGCTCCGTCCATGTGGGGGCCCCAGGCTCAGGAACACACAGCTGCTGACCCCAACAGCGGCAGCGTGGTCAGTGCTGGGCCAAGGCGCATGGCAAGGGCCGCGGGCCTCCCAAGAGGAGGGTGATAAAGCTGAGGCAGGGAAGGGACCAGGGCCTCTGGGTGCGGGCCAGGGAGTGGGTGTGCCTCAGGTTCCCCTTGCCCGCAGCTGCTGCCTCACTCCCCAGCTGTCATTTCTGGGACACACAGCATTTTTCAAGCCAGCTGCATGAAGAACCTGTGCGTTTGTTTTGTTTTGAAAAGACTTATTTATTTTTATTTAAAAGGCAAAGTCAGAGGGAGAGACAGAGATCATCCACCTGCTGGTTTGCTCCCCAAATGACTGTACCAGCTGGGGCGGGGCCAAGCTGGAGCAGAGCCTGCAAGTCCGCCTCTTTCTCTCACGTCAGTGGCAGGGACCCCAGCTATCTTGAGCCATCTTTTGCTTAGCTGGTTTGGAAGTGGAGTGGCCAGGACTCGAACCCATGCCTATTTGGGCTGCTGGCATCACAGATGGCTGCTTATTCTGCTATGCCACAGCACCAGCCCTGCAGACGGGTGTTTTGTTTTGTTTTGTTTTGTTGTTAACAATGAAATATCTGCCAAGAGTTGATACTTTGGCAAAAACACTGGAGAGAGCGATTATTAGGAAAATAAACTGAACTACAAACAGGTAAAATATAAGTCCATTGTTTCATGAGAGTCAATAGGTAAAACTGCTCTTGCTTATGGCTATAAAATTTCTGGAAACCGAATGTCCACATCACCATTATTTTGTCAGAGATGAGTCACAAATAGCTGGGCCTGGGGCTTGACTGTAAGACCTTTTTGCCCTTGTCACCTCCAGCCCCCAGCACAGGCCCTACCCTCTGCAGGGGGTGACCTTTCTTGGGTTACTCTGTCTACTGTGTGCAACCCCTCCCCAGCTCTGCTCAAACAAGGCCTCTTCCTGGAAGCCCATCCTAATCCACGCCTGCCCTGGGCCAGCCTAGGACCCTGGCTTAGTGACCTGGGCTCTTGCTTTGGACACCTGCTCGTGTCCTCCCTCTCTCGTCCTGATCTGGGCACCTGTATGTCACTGTGTCCTGACAGCCTGTCATGGGCCACAAGGGCTCACGTTTGGCACATCTGGCCCGGGGTAAACATCTGTCGGTCAGGAGATGAGGAGGCCCCCAGGGTGCAGCAGGGAGCCAGAGGCCATGCTGGCAGGGGAGGGAGCAGACCCAGAGCCGGTCTCGGTGGCCTTGTAGGCAGCAGGTGAAGATGGGAGCTTGGTGATCATCGCCTGGGATGGTGGTCACCATGGTGGTGTTGATGACGTCCTTTCTGTGTGCCCAGTCTCTGTGGGGCTTGGTGCCCAGGGGCTTCTCAGAAGCCCTGTGACTCCATTTCACCATGAAGGAGGCTGACGCATGCCAGTGTCATTGGGCATGGTTCTCAAACTGTGTTCCACAGAGCCCTAGGGGTGGCCTACAAGCCAGCAAGGGCATGAGGGAAGCAGAGAAAACTCCCCCTGCCCTGCAACCTTGCACCCCGCTATTTCTGTTTTAGAAATCAGGCTCTACTCGGAGAATAACTCCCTGACTAGAAGCAATTGGCCACTACCAGTACAGAAAGAGCAAAATTATCCTGGACGTGGCTGGCCAGGGCAAGAGCGGTGGCCTTCACAGGGTCCTCGGGTTGGGTGGGAAGGCACATGGAAGCAGGGACCAGGGACACCTGCCTGTCCAGCGAGTCCTTCCCCCGCCCCATGCCGAGGGGCCCCTCATCCTCTCACGGGCGTGTAGGCCATCTTGAGGGAGTGTCACATGCTGATGAAGCGTGACAAAGAGGGGCCCAGAGGGACCACTGAAGGACAGCAACCTGGGCTGGGCAGCTCCCCCCAGGCCCTGCTGCAGAGCAACGCACAAGCCCTGTCCCCTCTCCTGGCCTCGGTTGCCCCTTCTGAATGTAAGCTGGAAGCAGCGATGTATGGCCAAAAACCTCCGCATCATGCTGGCTTGGTTCCTGCCTCACTATTTAACAGCCATGGCCTTGAGCAAGTCACTTCCTGTCTGTGCTACAGTGCCACTACCATCTCAAAGGGGAGGGGGAGGAGGGCTCGCCTAGCTGTAGGGGACCCCCAGACAGGATGCTGGTGTTCCCCCAACACTGCAGTCAAGTAGAGGAGGCAAAAAGGGGAAGGGAAAGTCCACTGTGGCTTAGAAGAAAATCCCTGAAACTGGGTACCTTAGGAAGCAAACAGGGGTATGTAGCTCATGATGCTGGGAGCTAGAGGGGCCAAACAGCATGGTGAGGACCCCTGACTGCATCATAACGAGGCAGCGAACCAGAAAGGGAACTGGCTGCTTGCAGAAGGGGCCAAGCGTGCTGAGTGACCTTGCGTTTTAACATCTGCTCTCGGAACCCATGTTGTGGCACAGTGGATTAACCCACAACTTGCAATGCAAACATCCCATATTAGAGTGTTGGCTCCGATCCCAGCTGCTGTGTGTCCAATCCAGTTAACACACCCGAGAAAGTCCTTGGGTCCCTGCCACCCATGTGGGAGACCCTGACGGAGTTCTAGGCTCCTGACTTCAGCCGAGTGCCTTCCTGACTATGGGGGGCATGAACCCCAGCAGGGAGATGATCTCTTCCGTCTCTTTGTCTTTCAAGTAAATGAAATCAATCTTAAAAAAAAAAATAAAAACCCATTCTCCTAAGAACTGACTCACTCCCTGAGATAAGCACTGGTCCCTTGAAAGAGCAGAAGCAGTGACCCACCCCAGGAACTGCTCACCTTGCACTAGGCCCCACCTTTTTTTGTTGTTGTTTGTTTAAAGATCTATTCATTTTTATTGTAAAGACAGATTTACACAAAGAAGGAGAGACAGAAAGCCCAAGAACGACAGATGGCCCTAGGTCTTGGGCCATCCTCCATTGCTTTCGCAGGCCCCAAGCAGAGAGCTGGATGGGAAGTGGCACAGCTGGAACATGAACCGGTGCCCATATGGGATGCCAGCAGCAAATGCAAAGCAAAGATTTAGTCACTATTGAGCCAGGCCCCCTGTCTCTTTTTTTTTTTTAAAGATTCATTGATTTATTTGCAAAAATTACAGAGGGAAAGAGAGAGCTTCCTCACACTGGATCACTCTCCAGATGGCCACAATGATCAGAGCCGAGCCCAGACTCACACCCGGGACTCACACCCGGGACTCACACCCGGGACTCACATCCAGGACTCGCACCCGGGACTCGCACCCGGGACTCACACCCGGGACTCACACCCGGGACTCACATCCGGGACTAGCACCCGGGACTCACACCCGGGACTCATACCCGGGACTCACACCCGGGACTCGCACCTGGGACTCGCACCCGGGACTCGCACCCAGGACTCACACCCAGGACTGCCTCATGGGTGCAGGGACTCAAGCACTTGGACCATCCTTGCCGATTTTCTCAGGCCATCTGCAGAAAGCTGGGTCTTGAACCTGTGCCCCCAGGGGATGCTGGCGTTAGAGGCGCTGGCTTAACCTGCTATGCTGGTTGTTGTTGTTCTTACAGCTCCTCATTTCAGCAGCGCTGAGATGCACATCTCTCATGCACGCACTCTTTCTCTTGTATACATTCTGAATAAAACATGGTGAGTAAGTATTGCAAATCATAAAACATAATCAAAGCCCACAGCAAAGGACTGGGTGACAAAGACGGAGGACTTGGCACCATCTTGTTAGCTTTCAGTGCAAGCATAAAGCAGGAGTAAGGGTTAATGCTGCTGATATTCGAAATGATTCTTTTTCAATTCTTAATCTCTCTATTCCCCTTCTACTGAATTCCAGGAAGCATGCTTTAGGCACTGGAAGAACAGAATATTTTTTCTTTATTTTTATTGCAAAGTCAGATATACAGAGAGGAGGAGAGACAGAGAGGAAGATCCTCTGTCCAATGATTCACTCCCCAAGTAGGCACAATGGCTGGAGCTGAGCTTATCCAAAGCCAGCAGCCAGGAGCTTCTTCTGGGTCTCCAACGCAGGTGCGGGGTCCCAAGGCTTTCTCAGGCCACAAGCAGAGAGCTGGATGGGAAACAGGTCTGCCAGGACACAAACAAGTGGATATATGGGATCTTGGCACATACAAGGCGAGGATTTTAGCCACTAGGCTACTGCACCAGGCCCTGGAATATTTTTTAATGATTATTTATTTTTATTTGAAAGGCAGATTTACAGAGAGAATGACAGATGGAGAGAGAAGGTCTTCCATCTGCTGGTTCACTCCCAAATGGTTGCAACAGCCAGAGTTGAACTGATCTGAAGCCAGGAGCCAAGAGCCTCTTCTGGGTCTCCTACATGGGTGTAGGGTCCCAAGGCTTTGGGCCGTCCTCTGCTACTTTCCCAGGCCACAGCAGGGAGCAAGTGGGAAGTGGAGCAGCTGGAATACAAATGAGCACCCAGATGGGAAGCTAGCTCTTTTAGGTGGAGGATTAGTTGTCAAGCCACCATGCCAGCCCTTGAAATCATACAAGGGCCATGAATACTTCGTTTTCCATCAGCCATCTTCTCAACTGTGATCTGTCATGACCCCAGTGGCTAAGAAGTTCAGGAGCATGGCCACACCAGCAGGTTGGGTGTCCAAGGCAGTACTTTCTCACTGTCTTCATGTGTAGCCCCCATCTCTTAGATATCCACTGTGACACTGCCTGTGGGCTGCACTTCCAGCACCCAACAAAGATGTAGTCTCAGATACAGGGCCAGCCCCAGCCTGGTGCCGGATGAGCTCTGCAGTACGAGTGACAGCACCTGTTGTCCCTGGTACTAGCAGGATGCCCACACCAGTCATTGCCCCAAGGCTGTCACAAGAGGTCATGGAATTCGTTGACCAAGCCGCTCTTTGAAAGAAGATATAGTCCTAAGGAGGCATTTAGAGGCTGCTGTGGTGTAGCGGGTTAAGCCTCCACTTCAAAATGCTACCTGCATCCCATATTAAAGCTCTGATCCAAGTCCTGGCTGCTCTGCATCTGCTCCAGCTTCCTGGGAATGTGCTGGGGAAAGCAGCAGCTGATGGCCCAAGTCCCTGGATGCAGTTGCAGGCTTCTGCAGATGGAAGGTCTCTGTCTCTCGCTGTCTGTGCCTTTTACTTTCTCTCTGTGTCACTCTGTATTTGGAAGAAATTAATATTTAAAAAAATTATAACACGGGACAGGGAAGTGATGGCTCAGTTGGTTAATCCTATACCACCAAGCTCTGGCATCCCATATGGATACCAATTCATGTCCGAGCAACTCCACTTCCCATCCAGCTCCCTGCCTGTGGCATGGTAAAGCAGTCGAGGACGGCCCAAAGCCTTGGGACCCCACACCTGCGTGGAGACCCAGAAGAGGCTCCTGGTTCCTGGTTTCTGATCAGCTCCATTCCATCCTTTGGGTTCACTTGGGGAGTGAACCAGAGAATGGAAGGTCTTTCTCTCTGTCTCTCCTTCTCTGTAAATCTGACTTTCCAATAAAAATAAATGAATCTTTAATAATAATAACAATTAGAGTAATAAAATGAGGCCCATGGAACCCAGGGATGGAAACAATTAAAGAGATCCCAGGTGACTGAGACTGACCCCTGCCATGCCCTGGCACTCCTCATAGGGCTATTAGCAGACAAAGCCCCAGCCCGCTGTCTACACAGGGTAAGGACCTCCAAGGCAGACCCTGTTGCTTCTCTTCCAAGCTGATAGGCTGGGCAAGAATGCCGAAGGCCCAAGCAGGCTGCTCTGAGGCCCCGGGGCTCCCAGCTGCGGCAGGTGGAGGGAGACTTTGCTTGGATCCTCTGGGCCTGGCCATGTGTTGCTGCCTTTGCCTCACCCTCTCCCTTCCACGAGCAGCTACAGTCCATGGTGGATCTCCTGGAGGGTGCCCTGTACAGCATGGACCTGATGAAGGTGCACGCCTATGTCCGCAAGGTGGCCTCGCAGATGAACACGCTGGAAGAGGTAAGGACACGCCGCTTCCCCTAAGGCCAGCCTGCTGCAGCCACGCCTGGGCCTGTGCTGCTCCGACTCGGCCTTGCAGACCTGCGGAAACTGAACTGCTGTGCAAAGGAGGGGAGAGAGGTGCAGGCCACAGGGGCTGGCTGTTGGAGAAGAGGTCTCTCATGGGTTCAAGGGCCTGCAGCAAGCTGGTGAGGAGCGCACGGCACTTGCTGGCTATATGATGGGACCAGGGAGGGCAAGGGGAACTGGTCTGCCAAGGTCAAGGCCACAGAACACAGTATTCCCACCAGACACCAGGTTAGCAGTGCCCTTGGGGTGGTGGATTGTAACAGGACAGGCCACGCCCAGCAGGGCCAGGCTTGGGGCAGTGTGACTGTCTCTCACCCATTTGCGGTGGTGGGGGTGGGCAGCAGAGCTGGCATCCTGTGCTGGTGAAAGCAGTTGTGCCACAGGGGCCAGGGACAGCAGGGACAAGCACGGGGGTATCCGGGCATGAGTCTCTGTGGGCATAGCCCTAGCCTCCACCTGTTTCCTGTGTCCGGCCTGAGCCAGGCTGCCAGGAGGTCCAAGCCACTAAGCTGCCAGGGAGTGGGTGTGGGGCTTCCTCTCCCAGCTTCCTTCCCAGAGCGAAGGGGCACTTGGGCATCCTGTGCCCCCAGTGGTGGGTGGAGATTAACCCTTCACCTGCCCTATAGCTGGGGACATGATGGTTCCCACTGCTCAGAAAGTGCTTGGCCAAGCCCACGCCAGCGTGGGAGAAGCAAACATTTGTATCTGCATTTCCTGAACACCTAGGATGTGCCACGTTGCCATGCCGCTGCTCTGAAGTTCTGCCCCTCTCACCTTTCCCCTGGTAAGCTCAGGAAGTCCCAAGTCGGAGCCAGACAATATGGCTGGGCCCAGAATTAACCAGGACTCATCTTTGGGACCTCAGAGGAACGCTGCTCATTATCTTCTGGTTCATGCTCTCTGTGATTTGTTTCTGTTAATGGAGGTTTAATTGGTGATAATCTGGTGTGAAAGTCTGAGAAAAAAGGGCTTTTGCTAAGGCCCCGAGGAAGTAGGGAGCACAGCCGCCACCTTGCCTGCTAAGGGGTGATTTTTGCTCCACAGGGCACAGCTGGCAGAATCTGAAAACATCCGTTGGTTATCACAGCTTGGACAGGGACAGGGTGGATGCTTCTGGGAGGACTCAGAGAGGCCGCTGACACCTGCCATGCACAGGGCCGTGCCCATGCACAGGTGCCCACTGGCAGGTGCCTGCAGTGCTGACGTGAAGAGAAGCTGCCCTACTTGCTTTGAGCTCTCCCCAGCCTTCCTGGCGTCTGACATGCTTTTGTTTGTTTTGTTTTATTTTGCTTAAGATTTATTTATTTGGGGGCCCAGCTCCAGGAGCTTCTTCCTATCTCGCACGTGGGTGCAGGGTCCCAAGGCTTTGGGCCATCCTCCATTGCTTTTCCAGGACACAAGCATGGAATTGGATGGGAAGTGAAAGAGCTGGGACATAAACCAGGGCCATATGAGATGGGTGGAGTACCTGCAGGTGGAGACCAAGCTGAAACCAGGAGCCCAGAACTCAGATGTGGGTGGGTAGCCAGACCCCAAGTGCTTGGGCCATCCTCTGCTGCCTCCTGGGTGCATTAACAGGAAGCTGGATCTAAGGAGGAAGTAGCCCTGTCCTGGGGAGTCACTCTAGGGTGGGGTGCAGGGGTAAGACCTTGCCTCTTGCCTTCCCCTCACCCCCTAGAACGTCAAGGCCAACCTGAGCCGGGAGAACGAGGTGGTGAAGGAGAGCATGCGTCACCTCAGCGAGCAGCTGAAGCGCCAGGAGAACCACTCAGCCATCATGCTGAGCATCCAGAAGGAGCTTTCCAGCCTGGGCCTGCAGCTGCTGCAGAAGGACGCAGCCCCTGAGGCCCCAGCCCCTGGGGGAAAGCTTCAGGTAAGACCCGCTCAGATGGCGGGGCCGGTGGGTGGCTGAGCTCAGGAACATGGGGTGCCAGGCCCTTCACCCTATGGTATCTTCACCCTATGGGACCTCCCTTCAGGAATTCAGGGTGTCCTGCTGTGGAGGCTACAGCACAGCAAGGGACAAGCACAGCTCCAGCCAGAGCAGCCGGTCCTGGAGCTGCCCATGACACATCATGCACCCTGGCACTGGCTTAGAAATAAAAGTCCTGCCATGAGACCAGGCAGCTACAGACAAACCTGCCAAGAGGAGCTGCTTTAGGGTGCACACAGCACCCAGGGGCTCCTTCCTCTGAGGGAGCCAGGCCAGGGGATGTGTCTTGGCTAAGGCAATGTAGCCAGGTTCTGACCCCATACATGCCCCCTCTAGCCAGGCCCTCTCCACTGGCCGAGGAGAAAGCCGTAGGGGAGAAAGGAAGGGATATTTGTGGAATTCACATGGGAAACTTAGCTTTCTCATGGACGCCACCAGATAACCCCATAACCACCTGCTGGGCAGGACCATCCCTGCCTATCATCCGGCAAGCCAGGAAAAGTGGGGAGAGACTGGGACAATGGCGGGCATAAGCTCCGGCTGCCCCGCCATACTCTTCCTCCCCGCCTGTCTGCTGACAGGGTGTAAATGGAACCATGCGTGTCTGCAGTAGGGACGGCTAGATGCTGATAAAGCAGGCCGGAAGCCTGTGTCGCGGCCCGGAGCTGACTGCCTGCTCCTTCTGGGGCTGACCCCACAGGCACAGTGAATGTCGCCTCTTGGCAGTGGCGTGGGTGGCAGTGTGAACCTGCACTCTCTGTGTCTGCTTGACAATGGAAGATGGCCCAGGCGCTCTGTTCCTGTGCCAAGCCGGCGTCCGAGGCATTTGGATAGGAAGTGAAAATCACGATCCTCACCAAGTGTTAGACGCTGCAGGACCTCCAGAACGGAGGACCTACCAAACCCACTTCCTGGGGTGTGGGATTGGCCGTGTTAACACTGGGACGGGTCCAGGCGCCATGGGATGAGCAGGCGCCCCATGAGCTGAGGCCAGGCTGGGACGCTAGCCAGGGCCAAGGCCAAGAACCCCACCTGTCAAGCTGAGCCTCAGCCCAGCCAGGGAGCTGGAGAGCCAAGTGGGGACACTGAAGCAGGCCAGGCGTAGTGGTAGCCACTGTCCGGGTGGGGTAAGGAAAGCGATGGCCTTGTGAGCACCCGCCTCCCAGCCCCACCTGCTGTGCCATTGTGACCCCTGCAGCCTCTGGCCTGCCATGCCCCAAGTCCATGCCTCCTCTTCTCTCTCAGGGTGCAGGTGAAGGAAAAGGCAAGGAGAACAGCAGATACAGCAGTGCGCAGAAGAGCTTTGCAGACAAGGGCCTGCCAAAGCCCTCCAAGGAGAAGCTGCTCAAAGCCGAGAGACTGCGGGAAAGCAGCAAGGGTCGGTTCCCACAGCCCACAGGCAAGCCCCGGGCCCTGGCCCAGCAGCAGGCCGTGATCCGGGGCTTCACTTACTACAAGGCCGGCAGGCAGGAGACCAGCGAAGCTGCAGCCGGTGAGTCAGAGAGGCTGATGGGCAGCCACCCGCAGGGCTTCCCGCATCTTCTCTGCAGGCCCTGGCCCCATGGTTACTGCCCCCCTGCTATGGACACACCTGCTCTGAATGCTGCCACCAGTGCACAGGCCACTCAGTCTCTCCCCAGGGACTTTTCTTCATTCATTCAAAGGTTTACTAGAGGGCCGTTGTGTCCCAGGCCCTGGGGGATGACCGGACATGGTCCCTGCCCCCCTTAGAGCTCCCAGTGTGGTGGAGAAAACTACACCCCAGACCGGGCCGCTGTCGCAGTGGGGAACACAGCCCTCCTGGGAAGTGAAGAGAGGGTTTGGGGCTTCCCCCTTCCAAGCACAGACTGACCTATCTAGCCCTTTCCCCTTTCTTAGCTCCCCGACGAAGAACCCAAAAGTCTAGAATTTTCCTGCATCTCACTACCACTTTGCAGGGAAGGACAGTGGTGTAATTAACCAAGAAAATAAGAATTTCTGAGACTCCCCAAATGTCCGAGCCAGCCCGCTCTCAGCACGGCTCCTAATTTCCACTCCAAGATCCTACCCAGATGCCTGACCAGTGTCCCAACCCTGTCATCCCTCCTGAGTCCTGCTGCCCACCCCATGCAGTGAAGCCCGCTGCCCAGCCCATGCTCCAGGGGCCAAGGCGTTGCAAGGCACAGACCCTGGTGCCAGCTGCTGTCCTTCATCACTGCCAACTTAGGCCAGCCACAGCATGAGGCCTCTGACCTCCGGCTGGGGCACTGCCCAGAGACAGCTGCAGGCCTGTGGCTGCCAGCAGGGCCCATGGGAATAAGCCTGCTGGCCTGGCAGGCCGCCAAGGACTGGCTCCCATGATCAGAGGGCCTGGCCTTATTTCAGGGCCTAGCCAAGCCCATGTGCAAAGAGACAGAAATGAGCAAATCAACTCTTCCTTCTGCCAGGGGGTCTTTGTGCCCCTCTCCCTGCCAGCCGTGTGGGCCCTGACGGGGCCAGACCATTCCAGGAATAGCCAGACCATTCCTTTGTCCTGGTACACACGGTTTTCTGAACCCTTTGTCACTTGTGGTCACTTTTTTTAAGCTTTTTTTTTTTTAATTGCTTTATTTGAAAAGCAGAGTTATAAGGAGGAAAGACAGAGACAGAGAGATCTTCCATCTGCCAGTTCACTCCCCAGACGGCTGCGATGGCCACAGCTGAGCTGATCCAAAGCCAGGAGCTTCTTCCAGGTCTTCCATATGGATGCCGGAGCCCAAGGGCTTGAGCAGCCCTCTGCTACTTTCCCAGGCCATAAGCAGGGAGCTGATTCAGAAGCAGAGCAACTGGGACACTAATCGTTGCCCATATGGAAGGCTGCTGCTGCAAAGAGAGGCTTAACCCACAGTGCCGCCCCCTGCTGTACAAGCAGCAGCTGCGTGGTGCAGGCAATGAGGCAGAGAGGTTCCAGAACTGGCTCCAGGTGACATTAGTCTTCCTGCTTCCCAAATGCAGCCCAGAAGACTGAGATGACCCAGAGATGGGAGATACAAAAGTCCTCCCAGTGGGGGACCAGGGTGGGGCAGGAAATGGGATAGAGAGGAACAATGCTCTGGGGTCCCTAGGGAGACAAATAGGGGCTGCACTCGCCCCCTCACTGCCTGTGGGCCCCCAGATAGGCAGGCAGGAAAAGAAAGGGCTTCTGCCCTGGGATGGCACCCAGCCCCACCGCCAGGGTGTCAGGCACCCTGAACACAAGGATGCTCCTTCTGGGCTCCTGCTGCTGGCCTGGCTCTATGCCAGTGCCTGAGTGCAGTCCCGCTGCCAGGAGAGACACTCTAAATGCTAGGGTGCTCCTTCTGGGCTTCTGCTGCCAGCCCAGCTCTGTGTCACTGCTCAAGGGCATTTTTCCCCAAATGCCTGACAATGGCCTCCACTCTTCTCACATCACAGGAACCTGAGGCCCACCGTGGGGGGGATGGGGAGGGTGTGCTGCATAGCCACCTAGCCACAAGCCCTGGAGCCAGGCTGGGTGCCCATCTGCTGCCCACATTGAGGTGGTTATGGGCAGGCCACCTGCAGCCCTTCCTGGGCTCAGGGAAGCGATTGTGGGAGAGCCAGCACAGCAGACAGTACTGGGTGTAGGCTCAGAGTCTTCTCCTGGCTACAGACAATGCCCTGAAGGACACTTCCTGGCTGGAGGTGTCACCCAAGACGGAGGGCCAGTCCCCGGAGCACAACTCAGCAGCGGAGCAGGACGAGGCTGTGACCCAGCCCTCCGAGGAAGCAGGCTTGGTCCCTGGCATGCCTTCTGCAGACCCCAGCACCCCAACCACCACCTTGGCTCCCAGCAGCACCACGCTACCCACTGAACCACCTACACACCCTGAAGCCCCCAGCCGTGGTGAGTATGCCTCGCAGGGGTCAGCAGCTACAGTCACAGCAAGTCCAGCTCATGGCCTCACTGTGTGTGGTCCTTAAGATGACATTGACATTCATGGTTCTGAAAGGTTGCTGGGGACAGAAGGATCATGTGTGGGTCACGAAGCCTCACATAGCTGCTCTCTGGCCCTTTCTAGGAAAGGCCCTGCTGACATTCACAGTGGGCATGAAGAAGGTGTATTTTCAACAAATTCCTTTTATTTTTTAAGTTTGATGTATTTATTTGGAAGGCAGAGTCAGAGAAGGATAAACAGAGAGATAGAAAGTGAGCAAGAGAGCGAATGTATTTCATCTGCTCATTCGTTCCATAAATGGGCTGGTCCAGGAGCATCTTCCATGTCTCCCATGTGGGTACAGAAACCCAAGCATTTGAACAAGCCTTCGCTGCTTTCTCAGGGTATAAGCAGGGAGCTGAATCAGAAGTGGAGCAGTCGGGATACAAACCAGCGCTCATGTGGGATGCTGGCACCACAGATGGAGCCTAACCTGTTATCCCATAGCACAGCCTGCACACTCCCCACCCCAATACTATTTCTGGGATCAGAAAACTGGAGACAACAGAAAGAGCTGATATGAGGGGCGTGGTTTAGTGAGTGAAGGCGCACAGCTGTGTGGTGGCCTGGCAAGACCCAGGAGTCACATCATCCAAAGGCTATGGAGGAGCTGCGCTGGGCAGAGGGTGGGGAGGACCCACAAAACTGCATATCAGAAGCATGGCCTCCCCCTGCCTGGCCAGCTCCGCACAGAAAGATGGAAAAATGCAAGAAATGCAAATACAGACAGGCTGGTGCATCAAAGAATCTGTGTAGATTGTTTTACTTTTTTTATGGCATTGTTTTTTTTTTTCATTGGTAAGTTAAAACTTCACCTACTTCTGGTGCCCAACTTGAGGTTATGACAGATGCAGGCATTGTGGAATGACCTGGCCTCCCAGTGTTTTGTGAACAGAGCGCTTCCATCCCTGCTCCTTGAGATTTCCAAGCCTGCAGGCCCCTGACTCATCCCCCGGCCTGGCCGACCCTGGGCCCTTGGGCAGGTGCTCACTGCTTCCATCCCAGAAACCACCCTTTTGCTCACTGCTTCCATAAATCTGACTTTTGATGATTCCTCCTCCAGTGGGTGATGGAATTGTGTTGGGGCCAGCGGGGTGATATTATTTATTTGAAAGACAGAGCTACAGAGAGAGGAAGAGACAGAGAAATAAAGCTTCCCTCCACTGGGTCCACTTAAGAACCTGGTACTCCGTCTGGGTTTCCCAAGTTTCCAGTTTTCCCACTTAGGGGGCAGGGACCCAAGGTCTTGGGTCATCTGCTGCTTTCCCAGGTGCGTTAGCAAGCAGCTGGTGCAGAAGTGGAACAATCAGGACTTGAACCAGCATCCATATGAGTTGCCAGCATCTCAGGTCTTGTCTTTACCTACTGTACCACAGCGCCATCCCCAAGATTACAGAGTTCTGGCTGGTTTTTCCCTTTCTCTGGTCTCCTTTTCTGGGTGTTCTGTGTTTCCTATAACAGTCAGGCATCTTTGGTTACTGGGAAGGGGTTGGGGCAGAGGTTGCCAACCAAGCACTGTGAGTGCATGAGTTGGCCCCGGTGAGCCTGCGTCCCACATGCTGTGCCCTTGCTCCCCACAGGCAAAGAGGCAAGCTGTGAGGGCACCCTCCGGGCTGTGGATCCTCCCGTGAGGCACCACAGCTATGGGCGCCACGAAGGAGCCTGGATGAAGGACCCCACGGCTCAGGACGACAGGATCTATGTCACCAACTACTACTACGGGAACAGCCTGGTGGAGTTCCGCAACCTGGACAACTTCAAGCAAGGTCAGGGTGCCGGGGCCAAGGGCAGAGGGTGGGTGTGGGCAGCCAGGAGCAGTGGCTAGGTTTGGGGAGCAGGATCGGGGAGGGTAGTGCTTCCTAGAGACTTAGCTTTCTTTTGCTCAGTGGCTTCCTGTGGTGTGGTCTGGCCTGGCCAAGATACACACTGGCACCCACCCCAAGGAATGGAGTGTGGGTGACCTGAGCTGCGGCTTTCACCCGTGTGTTGATGCCATGCTCAGAACTGCACAACTATGGCCAACAAGGCAGCCATGGTGCCCCTCCTGCAGCTGTCACCAGCCATTCCCTTAGAGCCTGAGCATGCTGTGAGCTGATGACCCACAGGTGTCAGCTCTGTCTTCATCACCAGGGACAGGGGGTCACCTGTTTGACAGGTGGGCAGGCCTCAGGAATTGGAAGAACTGCAGGTCTGACAGGCAGCCAGGAAGGTACATGAGCAAAGGTAGAATTTTGGTTACCAGAACTGGGGCCCAGGTATGGGAAGAGGGCACGTAGTCGTGGCCCACCTTCCTGCAGCCTGCCATGAACAGAAAAGAAAGGGTCTTGAAGAGCCAGCTTCAGGACAACATTAGCAGAGGGGAGAGGCTGTGGGGATCCTAGTGATCAGGGAAGGCTTCTTAGGAGAAGGGATCCTAGAAGAAGCCGTGGGGAAGGCAGAGGAAAAGGTGAGCCAGGCAGGAAGTTGTGTGTGTGCAGTCGCCAGGCCGCCAGCAGCAGCAGCGAAGTGACCCCAGAAGGTAAGAGGAAGGCTGCATCTGGCCTGGTGAGCCCCAGAGGGTCTCAGGCCTGAACTCCACAGTCCCAGAGTCCCTGTCCAGCTGGAGGCCTTCCTGTACCAGCAGAGCCTTGCCCTCCCTGGTCCCTGCTTCCCGAGCAGCTCCCAGGCTGGTGGAGGGAGCCAGGGATGCAAGCTGAGATGAAGCAGGTGATGGAAGGCTGGGGAAGAGGACCCTTGGCTTGAGCCGGAAAGCTTGGGGAGGCTTCCTGGAGGAGGTAGCCCTGCTGCAGGCACTCAGGTGAGGGGCTACAGTCAGGAAGAGCCCACTCAGAGGCTCCGAGACAGCCCAGGAGCTGGTGTCTGAGTCTTACCAGCACCCCCAGAGCACGGCTGGGTGACCTGGAACCCTGCCAGCTGTTTGCTCTCAGGCATGTGGGATGGTAACAGCACCTGCTCCAGGGTGCTGATGGGATGGACTGAGACCACTGGCTCAGCTGCAGCATGCTGGGGACAGGTGACACTAGTGACTGGGCTAGGGATGGCCACGTGACCGTGTCCGCCCCTCCATGGCAGGCCGCTGGAGTAACATGTACAAGCTGCCCTACAGTTGGATCGGCACTGGCCACGTGGTGTACCAGGGCGCCTTCTACTACAACCGTGCCTTCACCAAGAACATTATCAAGTATGACCTGCGCCAGCGCTTCGTGGCCTCCTGGGCACTGCTGCCCGACGCACTGTACGAGGGCACCACACCCTGGAAATGGCGAGGCCACTCCGACATCGACTTCGCCGTGGACGAGAGCGGCTTGTGGGTCATCTATCCCGCCGTGGATGACCGCGATGAGGCCCAGCCCGAGGTGATCGTACTCAGCCGCCTGGATCCCGGCGACCTGTCCGTGCACCGCGAAACCACGTGGAAGACACGACTGCGGCGTAACTCCTACGGGAACTGCTTCCTGGTGTGTGGCATCCTGTACGCCGTGGACACGTACAACCAGCACGAGGGCCAGGTGGCCTACGCCTTCGACACACACACAGGCACCGACGCCCGACCGCAGCTGCCCTTCCGCAACGAGCATGCCTACACCACCCAGATCGACTACAACCCCAAGGAGCGGCTGCTGTACGCCTGGGACAATGGCCATCAGCTCACCTACGCACTCCACTTCGTGGTCTGAGTGGGGACAGCAGCAGGCAGGGATGGGGCTCCCCACAGCCATTCCTGCCAGGGACCCAGCCACCAGCTATTTATTCCAGGGACGTGGGGTGGGGAGAGGCCCGTCTGGGACTGGTGCCAGGCATGGGTTGGAAGCCAGGCCTGCCTTCCTTGGCAGCCAGCAGTCAGTACTCACGCCCACCAGCTGAGCCCCATACGCCACCCTTTCCGTACTCTTTCCCACTGAGTCCTCAGAACACCTCCCTTGGAGGCAGAGAACCTGAAGCCCATTTAACAAATGCGGAGACTGAGGCTCAGAAAGGAAATGGCATCCCTGGCTGAAACTCCTCAGTGGAGATCGGGCCGGGGTGCTGTCACTACACTGCCCCTCCTGGGCCCGTGAGACTTCCCTGTGTTCCTGCCTCGTAAGCCTGCCCAAAGCCGGAGGTCCTTGAGGGGTTGGGGGGAGTGCTTGGGAGACAGCATCTAGCTGTTCCTGCCACTCCAGGCCTCTGTTCCGACTAAGCTGCTGGTGGCCCTGGCCTAGCAGCTCCTTGGCGCGTGTCCCCTACCCCACCCCGCCCATGGTCCAGCCCCATTCCAAGCCGCCACCGTCACCTGGCTCCTGAGCAGAAAACACAGCCAAGAGATCGTCCGGTCCAGTCCAGGGCCCTCCCTGCTTGGATCGGGTTTCATTCTTCGGGGCAGCAAAGGAGACCCAGCGCCTGCCCTGCTCCTCCAAGAGCCTTGGGCCAGGGTCCACCTTGTTCCTGGTCTCTGCGCCTCCCAGCCCCCACCAGCCTGTACATACTCAGGGACACTTTCAGGTCTGCTGTGAGCAATGCCTGGGGACGCTAGGGCCAAATGAGAGTGGGCCATAAGAGACACAGGGCAGCCTCCGGGCTGCAGGGCAGAACCAGGAGTAGCACTGGAGGGTTTCAGATCAGACTTCCAAGTTGTTGGTGCCAGGACCACCCCAAAGCCTAGTGGGGGACAGGCAAGCCCCCTGGGCTAGGGCCGCTGTATCCTGGCCCCTGTGGCCCAGGCAGCCCAGGACCTTCATGCCTGTCCTTCCTCTATTCTGGTCAGGATTTGGAGAGCTGGAAAGAGGTCCCCCAAGGCCCAATCCCCGGCTCTCCCGAGAAGGTCCAGAAGCAGGCTCAGAGTCACCTAGGGAACAGAACATGGGACATGGCTGTCTCCCCACCTCCAGAGGACTGCTCTCTGTCCTCCCAGCATGGGCTGGCAGTGGGCTACCTTGCCTTCCAGCTCCCTGCACCCAGGCAGGGTGCCTTGTGCTGGCTCTTACGCGGCCTCTAGACCCTGCAGCCTGCACCATGCCAGCCTTGCCAGCTCTGGGAAATCAAAGCGCCCACATGTTAGGTGACTGAACCACCAGCCTAGCAGGAAGGAAGGCACTGGAAGGGAACCCAGCTCTTCGGGCATTGTCAGGGGACATAACACCCCCTCGCCCAGACATGGGGGATGACACCATCCAGCAAGCCAGTCTGACTCATAGGCGTGGACACATCCAGCCTCCCCACCCAGCTGACCAGTATGGGCTCCTCTTCCCCACTCTTCAGGAGGCTTGCGAGGTCCAGAACATTTCCCTTGGCCTTGGGTGTGGGTTCTGTAGAGCTGCATCTTGCTGTGACAACATAGGCCAACCATGTATGAGACAGGCCTGAATCTCATTCCCTCCAGCAGGTGCAAGTTAGAACGGGCCGTTTTCACAGAGGACAGCAGAGGAGACAGACCACAGCCTCCCACCACCATCAGCAGTCACTAGGCCCTGTCCATCTCCAGGCCCTTGTCTGTGGCTTGTGTAGCAGGTGCAGCACTTGCTTGTCTTCCAAATGGCCAGAGCCCAAACAGAAGATCTCATAGGGCAACAAGCCGGGAGCCTGGTTTTCAAAGCCATCAGGACCGACAGCTCCAGCCGTGTGCTAATAGCACAAGCCTGTCCCTACATCTTTACCACGTCCAAAATGCGCTCTGATGCGCCTGTTTCCCAAGTGAGGATGCCCCCAGAGACATGTGGCAACTTGGTCTGTAGGTACATCAGGGTTTCAGGTCAGGCCACACCTGTCCCTGGCCAACCACATGCCAGGCTGGACCATGACCATGGCTTTGAGCCAGTATGGCCAAGCCACAGGCCTGCTTCTGGAAGGAGGCTGAGCCCAACCTGTAAGAAGCTGTGGATTCCGAGTCAACCCTGGGCTACTTCCAGTCAGGACTGGCACAAAGGAACTTGGGAATGAACAGGAAATTGGGAGGTAATTAGGTTTTGTCCTACCGGGGAGGCAGGGACAGTTGCTTCATTGTGGAGTCCAGGAGCTGGCCCACAGCCACAAATCACTGCGCTTGGTCCCGGGCCAGCCTTCATTTCAGTTTTTCTACCCAGCCCAGCCTTTACTACATCTGGCCACATGTGCTTCCCACAGGGGAGGGTGGCACTGTTCTGTGTGGTGGGTATAGGAAGCTGTCAGTCTCACTTTCGATTGATGGGAGGCATTTAGGCCTGCAGCCACCTGGGGGCAAGCGAGGTGGGGCAGGAGCAGGGTAGGACCCACCTGGGTCCTGGGAATCTTGAGTTTGAAGCATCTGTGCTTCCTGGCATGGGTGGAAACCTCTGCCTGTGGGGACAGGAGATGGCACGGGAAAACTGCCAGCCCCTGGAGACGAGTCCTTGTGGGCTGTGGCTCGGCATCCAGCCCGCCTCTTGTGTGTGCCACACTTGGATCCCTTCTTTCAGGCAGGGAAGGTTAGTGGTGTTGACACCCTCCTGCAGGTGAGGACGGGGGTCCACAGGTGACCCCACAGCATCTCCCTGGAGCTAGAAGGTACCTGGATGTTCTTGTCACTCAGCCACCAGAAGCCCCCAAGGCAGCCTGGTGTGTCTCCATTACAGACAACGACCCTCACGTTCAGAGAGGGTGAGCTCAGGGTCATGTATCCAACAAGTCAACTACAGTTGGCACCAGGTCTGTTTTCCACCTAAGCCCCGAACTGACTTGTCAGGAACCATGTAACCGTTCATATTGTTTTTCTTTGTTTTGGCTACTGAGAAGCTCAGAGTCAAGTCTATGTTCATTTTTCACCATGATTGTAAGCATCCTACTGGATTCCCTTTCTTAACTTTGCTTGTACCTTGACCCGGATCCTTAATCTATTTTATCTATTTTTTTTGTAAAGTTGCCACAATACCTTCTGTTTGCAACAAGGTGGCATATCCACTAAATAAATACATGCTCAAAAGCTTGATTTCAGAGTCTTATCTAAATGTTGTGGTCTATATCTTAACTGCACACTTTTTTCAAAACACTGAGTTGGCTCTGCAGCCTGAGAAAGCACCCAGGGCGTGTGTGAGAGCCCTCCAAGTGGAGAAACTGCAGGCCATTGTCACAGGCGTTCAGGCATGATCCCAGCCTCTCCTCAACTTTCCTTTTATTCTGTTAACTCAAAAGGGGCAGAGAGAATGAGAGAAGTCTTGCATTCTCTGATTCACCCCACAATTGACCATGTTGGCTGGGACTGAGCCAGAGCCGAAGTGGAGCAGCAGTGGAGCAGTGGGGTGTGTAACGAGTGCCCACAGGGGCTGCAGGCATCACAGGTGGTGGCTCCATCCATGACACAACAGCATCAGCCTCTTTTCCACCTCTAGTCAACTGCAGCCAGCTCTGTTGTGTACCCTCCCTCGAGGGTCAGAGATGGGACAAAACGTGGGGCTGGCAGGCAGGGTAAGTGCCGATGGCTGTGCCAGGCTCCTGTTTCAGGGCACTGGTTAGGTCCTGGCTGATCTGCTTCCAGTCCAGCTCCCTGCTAATGCACCTGGGAAGGCAGCACAAGATGACCCAAGGGCTTGGGCCGTGTGGAGACCTGGATGGCTTCGCCCCAGCCCTGCCCTGTCACAGCCATTTGTGGAGTGAACCTTTGTGTGGAAGCTCTTTCTGTTCTCCCTTTCGTTCTCTTCCTATAAACAAATCATTTTAAGCAAACAAGCAAAATGAAATAAAAATCTTAAAATGCTTTGCTGAAATAAAGAGTGAGCCATGGAATTGGGAAGGGAACTTTGGACAGGCATAGTCCTATTTCCCAAACCTTGGTCACTCCGGCACCCTCTGCACGACTCCGGTCACCTCGCCTACCCTCTGCAGGATGCTCTGCTCATTCTTCTCCAGGGGATTCCACACTTTGCTACACAGAATTTTACATCACAAGGAAGCTTTATAAGCTGCTAACCCAACAAGGTAACTTTAAGAAGGTTTTAGTGGATAGTCTTCATACCCTGCAGGTGAAACCTCCTCCTGCCATGCCAGTACCCCATATCAGAGTGCTGGCTGAATCACGGCTGCTCTCTCTCTCTCCGTGTGTGTGTGTGTGTGTGTGTGGCTGGCATGGTGGGGGGCATGGTATGTGTATTATTTACTTATTTGACGGAGTCACAGGGAGAGGGAGAGTCAGAGATCTTCCACTCACTGGTTGACGCCCCAAAATAGGCACAATGGCTAGAACTGATCTGAAGCCAGGAGCGTCTTGCGACTCTCCCGCGGCAGTTCAGGGTTCCAAGGTTTTGGACCATCGTCCGTGTCTGTCCCTGCTATAAGCAAGGAGTTGGATAGGAAAGTGGAGCAGCCAGGACACAAGCCATATGGGATGCTGGCACTGCCAGTGGAAGATGAGCTTGCTATTCCACCCCACCCCTGTCAACTCTATTTCTGACCCGGCTTTCTGCTGCTATGCCTGGGAAGGCAGAAGATGACCCAAGTGCCTGGACTCTGGTACTCATGTGGGAGACTTGGATGGGGTTTGGGATCCTGGCTTCGGCCCAGCCCAACCCAGCCCTGGCTGTTGTAGCCATTTAGGGATTGAACCAGTGGCTACAAGATTTCTTTCACATTCCTGCCACTCCCCTGCCATCTGTTACGCAGCCTTTCAAATAAATGCATCTGCCTACCGAATTGTACCATAAAACTTTTTAAAATCAGGATATGAAAGACTGTGAATGGGGTATAATAAAATTGGAATCAGTCTAACAGACGGATCAAAAATAATAAATACATCTGCTTTGTTTTCTGCATTTTTAAAAAAGATTAATTTTATTTTTATTGCAAAGTCAGATATACAGAGAGGAGGAGAGACAGAGGGGAAGATCTTTCATCCGATGATTCACTTCCCAAGTGACCACAAAAGCCAGTGCTGTACCGATCAGAAGCCAGGAACCAGAAACTTCCTCCAGGTCTCCCATGCAGGTGCAGGGTCCCAAAGCTTTGGGCCGTCTTTGACTGCTTTCCCAGGCCACAAGCAGGGAGCTGGATAGGAAGTAGAGCTGCTGGGATTGGAACCAGCACCCATATGGGTTCCCAGG